CCAATTACTGGTTAGATAAGGAGAGGAAAAAGAAAAGGAGGGAGGAAGAAAAAGAAAGGGATTTAATTAGGGATTGAGCAATAGCAACGAAGCGATCCCATCGCCGATCTATCATTAATTAAAGACGGACACTTATGTCTCGTTGCTAATTCATCAAAAAATAAGCGACTAAATTATTTACGGTTGGTTGGTTATTTTTCACCTTTAGCGATAGATTTTTACATCCATCACTAATTAGGCGGCTTTTGAATTTCAAAAAGTCCATCCAATTTTTCACCTTTAGTGTCGAACTTTCTCGTCATTAATTTATGAGGGATATTTCTTTTAGCGATGAGATATCTATCACGTTAAATCCATACATTAAAAATAGCAATGGATTAGCTATTCCGTCATTATTTTTCCTAACAAATCCATCGCTAAATCATCTCTAAAACTCCCGGTAATATTTTGCCCCTAAATTTAGCGATGTATTAGTGTTTTTCGCTAATAAACCATCACTAATCCATTGCTATTTCATTGTTGGTTCCGACGGATGCTATTTTGTCATTATTTACTTGCTATTTAGCAACAAAAATTGATTCGTTATTAATTTTTATCGTTATTTGATCCTTTTTTATATACTATATGGAGAGAGATGATCATTTAAGAAGCAATGATTTAAGTATTTAAGAAGATAATGAATACTAATTGCTAGTAAAGAGATTCAAAACCTTAAATCTTAGGTACTTTGATTATTTATATAGCCAAGAGTTTTGTAAAGTTGCATGGAGAAAGGAATAAGATTTATTTTCTTGTTACCTATAATTTTTAATATCCAATTCAAGAACAAATAACTTTGCTATTGTCATGCCACAATTAAAAAAAATATGGTAGCATCATAGTTGGCATTAGATAAACAAAACTGATCTTGGACGCATAGTATTATTTAATAAATAGGCAATCTATCTCTTCTAATTGATAGAATTGGCTCGATCGTCCAAGCTTACCATCTAAAGGAGACCATTTGGTATACTCATAAGGTGACTAGTAAGAGTTAATTTCTCATTTATGTGCTAAATGAAGTTTTGTCTTCTTAAGTACTCATTTAGATACAATCTTTTGATTTATCAAAAATCATATGATAATACGTATCACCTAAATATATTATTTTTTATTCTCACTATTATAATGATGACAAATGATCTTGAAGACCAAGAAATTAAAATCTCAGTTTCTTATATCCATCCAAAGGCTTTACATATATTCATAGGATATCATATGACCTTAGGTGACTAAAAGCACAAAATAGCTTCATTACTAATCATTTATTGTGAATGGACCTACATCGGTTTTGAACTTGCTTTTCCTATTAAATCCTTGCAAAGAAAATGTTCATGGTTAGGAAACAAATTAAGTAAAAGAATATAGTAGAAAAACAAGCACAATTACATAACATAAAGATTTTACATGATTCGACAATGGTGTATACTCCACGATTGTACTAGGAGCTCTTATTAAGATTAATATAGTAGAAAAATAAGCACAATCATACAACATAAAGACTTTACATGATTCAACAATGATGTATACTCCACAATTACATTAGGAGCTCTTATTAAGATTTATTAAGTGACGACTACAAATACAAGTAACATTCGTCGCCTCTATTTATAGTATTTGCAACTAGTGGTTACAAGAAAATGGCATAACCGACCTATACATTTGACCCAATATTTTATAGACTTTTTCGGAGCTCTGCTCCCTCGTGCCTCGCTTGTTAATCAACTAGCAAGACTCGTCATGTTGAATATGTATAACGCCTTATATTGAGGGCCTTCATCCACATTAGTCTCTACAACTTAATAATGATTGTCAACATGGTGGATATACGTAATTCTACTATTGAATATTCTTATTTTTGTGTTGATATACTTATATATTTTCGGATGGAATTTTATATATTCTCTCGAAATATTTTCGGATGATATACCTATTTTTATGCCGATATACTTATATATTTTCAAATGAAATTTTATATATTCTCTAAAATATTTTCATATGGAATTTTATATATTCTCTAAAATATTCTTTTGGATAAGGTCTAATTAAGTAAGTATTTGGATTTTGTTTTCCTTTTTTCTAATTAGATGACTTGTTGGATCTTGTACTACACAATAAGAGTAGTCTTCTTGATTGATTTTTCTCGCTTTTGGATTTTGTAATCTTCAATCTTTTTTTAATTGAAACCTTTTAATTTTTTTTTTACTTGATTGAAACTCTTTTTTTGAGATTTTTCGTTTCAATTTTTTTTTTTATAATGTCATCAATCAATGATAGATATCTTTTTAAATTTTTTTACTTCACAATATCATGTATCAATCATTAATTGGTAGTGTTGTAACAAAAGATTTGAAATAAGAAATCTAAAAAAAAATAGTGAGTCTCAATTAAAATAAAATAAAATAAATGTCTTCATTAAAAAATAAAGAATGTAAAATCTAAATATGGAGAAAACTATTTAAATAAACTATTTTATATAATTATTAAATAAACTTAAACTATTTAAACTCGAATATGTTTCATTAAAAAAATCATCATATGTAGAATCGTTACACAATATCTATTTGTGTCATATTTTTTTCTCTTATAATCTGTTTTAAAAATTCAAAATTTAGATGATTACTTGAGAAACAAACTCGTTTATTGTAGGTTGTATGCACACGTAATATACACACATGTACGGGCAAATACGAAATTGCAAAGAGTGATGAAGAAGCCAAAGATTAAGGAGAGGTAGGGCCCCCCTTGTCTCTCTGTCATATCTGAAGAGGACGAAACAGGTAATTGACAAAATAATTTTAAATCCATACGTTAAAGTTAATGCTAAGGAGCTTGACGCATAAGCTTCAGTTGCTTTGCTTCTTGGAGAAGCCCTAACATTTATTGTATTATTTATCTATGTATGAGCATATAGATGTAGTGTGTAGTATTATCCATAACATGATGTCGGCTACTACATCCCCCCTACTAATCCCCTGCTTTCAACTTCATTACACTCGCCAGCCTGTCACAAACCACACAACCTTATTTTGTTGTTATGTTTACCTTTGACCTGTTGACCACTAAAATACTTGGTGCTAAAGCAAACTATAACATTCTTGTTCAAAAAGATAACAAATTAATAATAATAATTAAAAAAAAATCAATTTACTTGAGCCGGTTTCTGTTACTTTAGAGGTTAACTAGCAGATGTTTTTTTTTTTTTTAACCATCACGGCTCAAATCTTGAATAAATTATAAATTAGTCTTTTTAGTTTCAAGAAATAAATTAATTAGTCCTCTTTGTTTCAAAAATTATTATTTAATCTTTTAATCAGCGTTGATTATATTTAATTTAGTATTATTTTTATTTCACAAAATCTCTTACTTCTCATGAATCTTTTCTTTTTTTTCTTTTTTTTTTAAAAATAAAAAATTAAAATAAATTAAAATTGAGAAAAAATGATTAAATTACAAATAGATTTCAAACTAAAGGAACTAAATAATTAGTTTTTGAAAAAAAATGGACACGTTAATTCGTTTTTTTGAAACGAAAGGGACTAATTTATAATTGACTCCTCAAATTTCAGACCATGATATATATATATATATTCCCTAATTATAACTTAAACAACTTATTCCCAATACGAAAAGATAAATTTAATCTGGGCATAAAAAGCGTAACCAAGATGTAATAATTATCTGTCTTAAGAAATATTTTACTGCATCTACCTATATTTTCTTTTGAATTAAAAAGTGATCTACCTAATTATAACTTAAACAACTTATTTCCAATACGAAAAGATAAATTTAACCTGGGCATAAAAAGCCTAACCAAGATGTAATAATTAATTTTCACTTTTTAATTCAAAAGAAAATATAGGTAGATGCAGTAAAATATTTCTTAAGACAGATAATTACCACTTGATAGCTGATTAAAAATAAATATAAACTACCTAGCCATTGCCCATTGGTATGCATGGAATGACATAAATTTGGAACCACAAAATCATCTGAAACGTGAAATACAATGTCTCAAAAATAATAGTAATTAGATAAAAGATATAAATTAATAGATCAGTGTGAAGTCTACGTGAAGAAAAGAATTAGTATATACATCTAGCAATACAAAGTAGGTGTAGCATATATATATATATATATATACACACACACAAATTTTCACATAGCTTTAGGGAGACTCTAAGGTTGACAGTAGAGCTAAAATCTCTCGGCTGTTCCTATATATCCCTTTCCCTCAAAGAGGTGAAATGTCTTAGAATAGAATCGGGTTGCCTAATTCCCACTCAAAATACCCTTCCTGTTCTCTTTAAGGTTAGGTTTATTATTTCGTAACTTTCCCAAAAAAAGTTAATTAGTAGAATGTTAACCCTAGCTAGTTCTTGGACATACCCAAAACGCAAATTAAGAAGACTGCATTTATTCTTTGATACGAATGTATATACAATATTATACCCAAACTTGACGTCCAAGTAACCTGTTTTATTTCTAGACATTCTAATCTCACTTTCTCTCTTCTTTCTTTTTATAGTTAGCCTTTATCAAATTCTCTTCTCTCTCTCTCTCTTTCTTTTTCTCTCTGTGCAAGAATCCCTATTTTCAGGTATATATTTATTCAGTGTACCGAAATAAAAAAAAAAAAATGAAAAATCAAAGAAGCAAGAAAAGGTGTAGAAGAATTAAATTCCTTTGCCTACCTGCTAACATAGATCAAGATTCAAGAAGTGGGCAATATTCCAGTAACAAGCTCAAAAAACGTGCTTTAATACAGACAAATTTTCTTTGCTTTTGCTACCTATATATGTAGATATTTCCTTCTTTTTATCTTTTTAGCTGTTCTCTTATTCTTTCCTTTTATTCTGTGATTTTTTTTTTTTTCGGGTGGGGGTGGAGAAGCAAGCTTGGAAGTGGATACAAGAGGAAAAATTCCATTGTGGGATGGGAATAAGAGAAAAAATACAGAGATGACATGGTGCAATAATAACCCAGTAGATGAAAGAGCCATTCAATTAGTCACGGCTAACCCAAAAGAAGATACTTTTGTCGATGCAAAAGCAGATGAAATTCGGAGCATAACTTGCCCTTCATGTGGCCACTATATTGAAATCCAAGATCAGGTATATTATGTGCTGATGTGTGGAACTTACTGTTGTCTTCTAGTTGCAATTTTTGGTTTTTGTTTTTGATTTTTTTTTATGAACAAATTATATAAATATATAGGGTGGTATAATTCATGATTTGCCGGGACTACCAGCAGGAGTGAAGTTCGATCCGACTGACCAAGAAATACTTGAACATTTAGAAGCGAAGGTGTTATCAGATACGCGTAAAATCCATCCTCTAATCCATGAGTTTATCCCAACAATAGAGGGGGAGAATGGAATTTGCTACACTCATCCTGAGAAGCTACCAGGTAATTAAAAGGGAAGTTTATTTTTTTTATTTTATTATTACTATTATTATTATTTTTCCATTTTCCACTTTTGATCCTTTGCTGGCTTTTGATTTGGGGTTTGCATAACACTGGACGCTTGCCAAGCTGCTTTTAATAGGGTTTTAGCAGCAACAATCCTTGGAATAAAGGACTAGGATGCCTAGGGCTTGTTTACATGATAGTTGATTATCTGGTTAATTAGATTGTTTTCTTAGTTTCAGCTAATAAGAAAATTGGTGGGTATAGATGCAACTCCAAAATTAAGGTGATTTTTCTCTTGCTAGTAGCTCTTTCTTACTCGAAAGGTCTTTTTTTCCCCCTTTCCTCTTCTCTATTTTTTTTTTTTTTTTTTTGGGTTTTGAACATTGCTTTCATATTGCGTATAGATGAATGAAAGAGAGATGTAAAAGCAGCATATGGGTATGTTCTCAGTTATCTCTTACTTAATTAACTAACTCATTTGAGTAAGTTAAAAATTAATGTTCTAGTGATAATTGTCTCTCTAACAGGTAAAGAGTCTCATTTCTTATTATTCCAACAAGTAATACATCACTTGAATCTTTGGCTTCTAATCAAGTAATTGATTAGCAAGAACAATGATTGAGGCTATGTTAGGATTCTGTGGCAGCATTTTTTCAACTTAACTCAAAATATGACATATTTCTCACAGTTTCGTGTGCTCTTCAATATCATGTCAAATCAAAACTAATGCCAATGATTTGGTTATAGCTAGTAGCAATTTATTAACCGTCTTTAAGCTGCGACATGGCATTGTAAGGTCTCAAGGAAAAAACCCTATAATATTTCATGAAACAGCAGCCATTTTTATTTAATCAAGGAAACTGCTTTACCCTTGCAGTATTTTCTTATGATTCTCTGCCTTCTGGTCGTTCTTATCATGCAGGAGTAAGCAGTGATGGTCAAATCCGCCACTTCTTTCATCGACCGTCAAAGGCATACACAACCGGAACTAGAAAACGGAGAAAGGTGCACACTGATGAAGATGGAAGTGAAACCAGATGGCACAAAACAGGCAAGACTAGGCCAGTTTTTGCCGGCGGGACAGTGAAGGGATTCAAAAAAATTCTGGTGCTTTACACTAATTATGGTAGGCAAAGGAAACCTGAAAAGACAAACTGGGTCATGCATCAATACCATCTTGGAAACAATGAAGAAGAGAAAGATGGAGAGCTAGTGGTTTCAAAAGTTTTCTATCAAACTCAGCCTAGGCAATGTAGTTCAAGCGTGAAGGATCCAATTGGGAATAAGTCGACGAATCAAAGTGGTCATATTGATAATATTCACCCCCTAGCCAAGAACAGTTCAGGTCTCCTTGAGTTCTATAATCCATCGTATATTTCATATGATCATGGGAATCATAGCAGTGAAATCCCACCTCAATTCCTCCCCAATTTGGTTGTTCAAGGTGACGGGTCTTCCTTTATTAGATTAGCTGAAGAGACAAGCAAAGGAAAGCTTCAGAGAAAACAGTGATGTGAGAAAGAGCATTTGGTAGAGCAGAAATGACAAAGACTCATCCTGTGTGCATGGTTGTTGCTGCTGTTGTGGTGTAACCCTCATATAAATTATAAGGTTGAGATTTTAGTGGGAAAAGGAAGAAAGGGGAATAAGGTGAATTGGCTTCTTTAGTTAAAAAGATAAGGAAGCCAAGTTCTTTGGAAGCTTTTGCCATGAAGCTAGCTCTTTTTAGTTGGTTTGTAAGTAGAGAGAACAAGGAAGGTGCAGTTGATATTGTTATACCCGTATATATATATATATATAATGGTGAGGTTACTTACATTATTGTAGAAAGTTTATTAGCTTAGGTAGTTTGATTTTTAGGGCTTAGCTTGAGCGTCATCGATCATTGTTTACATATATATACTTTCTTCTTCCAGAAGTTTATGCTTAATGATTATTAAGGAGATGGGGAAATGATTTTAGATTTTGGATGTAGTCTTCAAAAAATTATTTTTGATAGTCAATTATAATGTTCTGATTTCCTATTGTACTTTTAATTAGCTTCTTCTAAAAGTGTTTGTGTTTGAATCATATATGCTTGTTGTATTCTTCACCAAATTAATTTTGGTGTTAAATAATATTGGTATATTGGCTTATCAGGGAAAAAAAAAAAAACAATAGCAATGTATGCTTTGCCTGTATTAAATGTAAGATTTACTGAAATAAGAGTACATTATTGGTACATTAATTAGTTAATTTCGTAAAATCTTTTTGTGTACTATCAAAAGCTTAGAATCTCAATTTTGCACCCAAGATATATGTTAAAAGAAAAAAGTAGAGAGGCTTGCATGGGAAGGATTAATTCTCTCAGCCACCTTTCTTTTGTTTGTCATTTGTATCTTAATTAACATATGATCCGGAATCCTAGTAGTAATTTTTTATGTTTAAGTTTAAATTTTAATTTAGACTCTCACCATATATATATATATATCACTTCTTGTATGCCAATTTTGGTTCATTTACTTTTTAGTAGATATAGCTCACTAGTCATGTAAATTATTTAGATTTCCAATTAGCTAATTATAAATGGGATAATTATAATATAAGTATATCAACTTTCAACCTTTTTTCAATGAATTATATAAATTTTAATTTTTTTCGTTTTAATATATTAATTTTTTTAAAACTATCAATCAAGTACTTTCGTAAATTTTTTCGTTACGTGATAACATGTCCGTTATTTTCATAATACAAAATTATAATTTTATCCTTTTTTGAATGGAGTACATAAACTTTATTTTTTTTTCATATTGAGTGTACTCGACCTTTTAAAAATTGTCAATCAAGTATTTTTATCAATTTCTCTATTAATCGATGATGAGTCCAAATACCAAATTATATACATATTTTTTTCATCTTTTGTTGGAAGGAACCTTCTCCTCAAATTATTCTATCATTTTAAATTTTAACAAAGAATTAAAAATATATTTTTAGTTATAAAATCTTGAACTACACTTAGTAAGGCTTGCTATTAAAAAAAAAAAAATCGATTAGGTTTTGAGCATGAAAATTGAAAGAAACATAAATTAAGTTTTTTTTTTAATAGCAACCTAATTTATTTTAGATTGAAATTTTAGAAATAAAAAAAATAATTTTTTGAATTATTTGTCAAATTTTATAATAGTAAAATAATTTGAGAAGAATTTTTTTTTCAACAAAAAGAGGATAAAATTATAATTTTGTATTGAATACACATCAATTAACAAAGAAAGTGATGGAAGTTAATTTACTCAAATGGAAAAAAAAATTGAAGTTTCTATACTTGGATTGAGAAAAAGAATAAAATTATAATTTGGTATTTAGAGGTTAACAAACACGTCATCAATTAGCGAAAAAATTGATAGAAGTATTTGATTATCAGCTTTTAAAAAATTAATGTACTCAAAAGAAAAAAAATTAAAATTCATGTACTTAATTGAAAAAAAGATATAAAAACATGATATACTTATGATGTAATTACCCCAGTTATAAATGGTTCAATTACACTGTTCGTGTAGCTTTTATGTTGTTGGTCGCTTAATTATCTGTTGGTATTGTTGTGGAGATTTAGTATCACGTACGTATAAAAATTAGGTACATTTGAGTAGTTAAAAATGTACTTCAATGTAAAGTTTTTATTATTATTTTATTTTATTTTATTTTTTCAAATTCAAACAGGTTCAGATTTGATCTAAAGCACCATTTGGTTCTGATGGAATGCCAGCATAAAATGGCCAAATTAATTGGGTTGCAGTTGATGTACAAGGTTTTATTAGGTGTGACCATATGTGGCCACTAACAATATTTGGCCAAATTTGCAAGGACAGTCACCAGAAGTTTGGTCTGTTTAACGAAACAGAATGTTGATTGACATAAAATGAAGCTGAATTTGCAACTTGACCAAAAGCAAAGTAGAATTTGGCTTTACCTAGATGGAAAATTCCCAACCTGATTCATAGTTGAGGGAGGAAGGGAGGCTCTTTGGAAAAGATTATCAATACAGTCTGGTAATTTTATTCTCCCTTGTTTTAACATGACCTTATTTACTCCAAAGCGCACGCCGTACTCCACGTACCAAGAATTTTTCGCGAAAGATGATGCAGGAGCCTACGTGTATCATTGAATCAAGAAGTGAGAACTTGTTGCCATATATGTGTGAGCAGAGGATACGAGAGATAGTCGAATTATTGTTTTAAATCGTAAATGCAGTTATAACACCAATCTTAATTGCAAATGTGATTGACAAAGAATAACAGTTACTGCAACCGATAGCATGAATGTATTAACAAACGAATAGTTGTTAATAAATTTTTTCTAATTCATATATTTTTTTACAGTTTTACTAATTAAACATAAGAAGAATAATATCTCAAATTAAATTTAATATTACAAAACAACATATGAATTTATTACAAAAAATTAATAGTAATTTGAAATTAGTAAAACTATTAAGAGTGCTGAAATTAATAATCTGAATTTCAAATTACTCGCTTAATTTTATGAGATTTACAAAAAAATTAAATAATGACCATTATTCACTAAATAATTATCACCATAAAAAAACTACAGATTAGCATTGAAAATTAGCGACGTACAACCGTCGCTAAATAGCAATGGTTTTACTGCAGAACAACGACCAATAAGTTTTGAAATAGAATTGCAATGGAAAGTTAGCGATGGATAGAGTTTCATTGCTAATTAGCATGGGAAAAATACACATCTAATCTAGTAATGGAATAGCAACATATTTATGAGGGAAATTAGTGATAGAATAGCAATTTCGTCACTAATTCCCATTTCTAAAAATCTCAAAAAATTAAGCAAGTAATTTGAAATTCAAATTTGCGACAAATACTTAAATCGTCGCAAATTAGTGAGTGCCCGTCGCTAATTAATGAGAGATTATAGTTGAAATAGCTTGTTATGTCGCTAACTAGTTACTTTCCCCCATTTCTGAAAATTTCAGAAAACAAAATGATGGATTTAAATTTGTATTAGAGACGAACACTTAAATCCCTTGCTAATCACCGACGGAATTAAGTCTATCGCTAATTCTTAATCCCTAAATCTACGTAAACTCTTCTTCTTCCTCATTTTCTTTTTCCTCTCCTCCTCTTGTTGCCGTCAACTACCCAGCCCTAAAACCACCACCTAAGGCGACTCCGGTCCCTAGCTCCCTAGCATCCTCCAATCGATGCAGCGTTCCTCTCTCTTAAAAAAATCGACAATTTCACCCATTCAATTCACTTTTCTACTTTCCCCCATTGTTAGTTCTCTCTCTACTCGTTTTTCATTCTTGTTAGCTATTTCTATTAATTGTTAGATTAGTTTTGATTAATTAGTTGAATAATTAGTTAATTTATTGCTTCGTTGTTAGGATTTTTTTGTTAATTTAATTAATTAATTCGAATTAGTGTTAATTTAGTTAGGTTAATTTCAAATACGGTTACTTTAAATTCGTTATTAGTTTATTGATGAGGTTAATTTCATTAAGGTGAATTGTATTATGTTAATTTGAATTTAAATTAGGATTAATTAGGATTAATTTAAAATAGTTGTTAGTTGATTAATTAAGTTAATTTAATTAAGGTGAATTGTATAATGTCAATTAAATTAACTTAATTAATCAACTAACAACTATTTTAAATTAGGATTAATTCGAATTAATTTAAATTAGGTTTAAATGAATTATGCTAATTTGAATTTATTAATTTAATTAATCCGAATTGGTGCTAATTGAGGTATGTTGATTTTAATTAGGTTATTTGATTAATCACATGTTAAATGAATAAGTATGTTAATATTGATTAATTAGTGTTAATTTGATTTAGTACTAAATGAATTTAGGTCAATTTTGATTAATTATGTTATTTGTTAATAATGTTAATCTTAATGTACATTTTTTTTTGAAAGAAAAAGATAATAATAACTTATAAAACTCGAGTTCCTACTTAGCACCTAATAATAAATTTAAAAATAATTACCAATCAAATCAAAATTCTTAAAATATTAAACTATATTAAAGATAACCAAAACACAATAGTAGTAATGTTTCAAGTAAGTGAACTATTTTTTTAATCTAAAATATAAAATTAGGTTAAAGAAAACTAAAACACAATAGTGGTAATATGTTACTTTTTTAACTAATTTTTTTAGATAAAAGAATATTTAGATAAACTTATACAATAATAATTTGTTACATTTTAATTTTATTGTAAGGTTAACTCGCTAGTTACTTTATATGTAATTAGGTTAATTTTGATTAATTTGTTAAGTGTATTTAAAATATAATTTATTTTAAATTTTCTTTGAATTGGAGTTATACACTTTAATTATTTATTTATGATTATTGAAGTGTGTTGAGATACGTTGTAGTGTATCGAACCCGAGGGGTCTATGACCTTTGGAAATTGAAGAGAAATAAGGTTGGTTCAATGCTCGTAATGGTGTTAGGAGGACGAGTTTGAGATTTAATTTGAATGGATTATCATAGA